CTCACACCGTGAGGATCACAGTATGAGGATCGTGTGATGTCACTGTGATCATCGCATTATCTCACGTGTTGACTGGGATGACACCTTTAAATTGTTGTTTTTAGAGAAGCAAAGCCTTTTTTAATTTATTCTCCTCAGTTTTACTTACAGTAGATTATGCACAGACGTTCATACACGGACGCTCGTGCAGTGACGGCGTAGATTGCCTGGATGAGAGACACAAGACCCAAAACAAAGACAAAATGAAGCAACAGACCCACAAATATTTCTTAAAACAGGATGTATGTCTATGATAAACACAGCTCCTGGCTTTAAACAAATCGAGTTCACTCTCTCACACTCACACACACACACACACACACACACACACACACACACACACACACACACTCACGCACTGGGCACAGAACGAGTTTATCTGGCCATTCAAACATCTGATAGGAGCCATAATAAACAGATGATCAGAAAAAACAGCTTCGCTTTATACCTGAAAATGAGATCAAGGACATTCTTCATGCTTCAGTTTCACTACTAAAACTACTTTTTAGTAGTTTTTAAACTACTGTCATTGACATGAAAAAAAATATTGTTTCATATGATTTTCAACAAACATTTTTTTTAGAAAAATGTATATTTAATGATAATTTCAAATGTAGCTGTCAGGTAAATCGCATTAATATATTGTACTTACACCTAATTATATGTGAGTGTAGCATAGACTGTATAGAAACATGGACATAGTGTCCGCGACGTCACCCGTTGTCAGACTCTGTTCCGTGTTTTGTGGTTGTTTTCCTCATGTGCCTTCCTTTCCCATGTTTAATTTGTCCCAGGTGTTTCCCTTGATTGTTTCATTGCTCCCAGGTGTGTCTCGTCATCCCCTCCTCCTGTGTGTATAAATAGTGTTCCCTGTGTGTGCTCCAGCGTCCGGTATTGTCCATGTCATGTCTCCATGTATTGCGTGAGTGTTCTGTGTTCCTTTGTGTAAATTAAAACCCAGTTGGATTGATGTACTCCTCGTCTCTCTCCGTTCCTTGCTCCTGACTCTGCTCAGCAGTGCACCCGTGACAGAATACCGGACCGATACCGAAAGTAAGCAGCGCACCTTCTCCTCGTTTTTCTTTTTCCCGTTTTTTTAAAGTTTTTTGTTTCCTGGTTCCCCCCCCCCAGCGGCGATGGAAATTGCCGCTCGCGTCGCCGCCCTAGCTCGCCTCGATCTCCCCTTCTACGAGTACGCCAGGGAGTTCTGCAAGCTCGCTGAGGTGACGGCGTTAGGGGACGCCGTCCTCAATCAGCTGTTCTGGCTCGGGGCCAACTACCATCGCCCCGTGGACCTCCCAGACACCACGGGACTAACTTGGAGGGAAGGTGTCTTCCGGTGTCTG